ACTTAATAGGCCTGACAAACAAACCCAAAATTTGGAGAAAATTTAGATGAAATACATTTCCCTAGAAAGCTGCCGTATAATTCAAGCAACATGCTGGGAATTCTACCTATTTGAAATGATAATATAAATAGTTGTAGTATTTTCTAGTTTAAAAGCAATTTTATGTGCTACTGTCTGATGATTAATAATGTAAAAATGTATAATCAGAAAAGCTTAATTCTTCTAAACTGTCATTGGGTATAAAAGTGTGTACATTTAATGGGAAAATAAGTTTGAATATTTCTGAAATGAATGTATTACAGTCTATTTTTGCCATAAAATAAATATTGACGCAAGGTATGATTTGTATGTGAATATAATAGTCCAGTTAAAGCTATTTTGCCTTTTTTAAAATTCTAGATCTTATTGCAAAGAGGCATATTTCCCCTTTGGGTTATTTTAAATAAAAGTACTAGACAATAGATGTTTCTTTTAATAGTTGCCAATCTATCATCTCCTATCTCCACAGTAATCAATCAAGAGGTCGAATGCATCTTACCAAAATAGCTACCTTCATTAATTAGGACACTTGTGGAACAATTAGTATATTTAAAGAATAAACATTTATGTATTTCCCAGCATCAACTTCCCAAGAATGTCAACTTCCCAGCAGGTCACCAGAGCTCCTCACATTGCTTACCATCCCCCTAGTGGAACTTAATTCATTGATGTCCACTTCCTCTTCAGTGGGGTTGTTTCTTGACCAGGAGCAGCAGCACTGGAAACTTGTTAGAAACACAAGCTCTTGAGGCCCATCCCAGATGTGAAAAATCTGAATCAGAAGCTATGGGGATGGGGCCCAGAATCTTACCTTAACAAGTTCCTCAGGTGATTCTGGTACATTAAAGCGTGAGAAACACTGCATTAGTAATGAAAAACCATAGATGTTCAATACAGATCTTAACTTGGGATTCATTACATAGCCAACCTACAGTTAATAGGCACTAACGTTTATATTAGGTTAATGATATTTACAGTTGTGGTAGGCTGAATAATGGGCCTCCAAAGATGTCCATGCCTAATACCCTGAAGTCATGAATGTTATCTTACAGGGCAAAAGGAACTTTGCACATGTGATTAAGGTTCTTGAGATGGGGGGATTGTCCCGGGTTACCCAGCTGGGTGCGAAGCCATCACAAGGATCTTTCTAAGAGGGAGGCGGGAGGGCTAGTGAACAGAGATGCGATGATGGAAGCAGAGGGGTGTGAGGGAGAGTTGAAGCTACACAGCTGGCTTTGAGGATGGATTTAGGGGCCACAAGTGAGGGAATGCAGGCGGCCTCTAGAAGCTGGAAAAGGCAAGGAACGGATTCTCCCTCAGAGCCTCCAGAAGGATCCAGCCCTGGCACCAACTTGATGTTAGGACTCTGGACTTCTAGAACGGTAAGATAATAAACGTTTTTTGTTTTTTTTCCCCAAGCCACTAAGTTTGTGGTAACCTGTTACAGCAGCAATAGAAAAAATTAAAATAGTATATATTTTCTCTCAGGAAAATCTTGATGGTCAACTGTTTTAAGATCTTGGAAGCACTAGGTGAATCCAGGATTGCCTCAAAACGGATGCTGGTGCAAGACCGAATTCTCGAGGCGACAAGGGTGACTTTCTAGCAAAACTTTCCTTACCCCAATTCAAAAGTATCTTCTTCCTTGAACCGAAATGTGGATTTGTTGTTTTGGTATGTGCCATTGGCTCCATCTGCTGCTTTTCAAAGGTCTGGGAAAAGTAACTAGTTAGGTGGCATCTTATATCACTGAAGTGGGAATCAATTTAGAGACTGCTTTCCAGGACTACACTAGCTCATGAAGGGAAAGGTAGAAGAGGTGTTTCTATTTCTAGATGTAAATTGTTTCAATTATAATTCTAAAGACACTAAGAATTAACTTTGGCATATTAAAACTAAAAGAAATCTTTAAATCAGCTAGTCCAAACTCTTTTATACCAAGGCCCAGGGTAAAGTACTTCATTGGTGACTACACAGCTAATTAATCCACTTGGCAAATTGTCCTCTTGCCCCATAAAAAACTGCTCTGATCTTTTCTGATTGGTGTCACTGGGGGAAAATGTGACTTCTTAAAGTGAGGCTTCTCAGGAAGATGCTAATTTATAACTTCCACCATTTAAATGTGAACAAATGAGGAATTTTCACATAACTTAGCCATTTGCTACATTTTCCCTTCTACATGGGGAATTTGCACTGAGTGTAACGAGGAAACATCTGTCCTATTTTCTCATAACCTTGTCTGTAGCTAAACCTCCCTTCCAGCTCAGACTATGTCCTTCTGTGAACAAACGCAGCCGTACTCAAGCAGATGAGGACCTAGGGATCCAAGGAGAAGTCAGTCCTTCTCGAGAAACCCATAGTCTAGACAGGACACAAATTGGGCATGTAAACAATACAATTCACATTGTAGGTATGTCAGATCCCAGGTCCCAGACAGGTGGGACAGTCATTCAAGCTTTCAGTGTTACATTCAACCTGGGCTGTCCATGAAGGCACAGGAGGACAGCAGAGGGGAAATGACACTCTGAGCAGATCGCAAGTGGAAAGGCATGGAGAGGGCCTCTGCTTGTTTAGGGAACAAGCAATTAGATGTGATAGACACTTAGGATGCCTGGGGGTGGGTGACGAGAGATGAGCTGGGAAGGAAAAGATGACTATGAAAAATGCCAAGGGGCCTGCACTGTATCTTTTTAGCAAGAGGAAACTCTAAACGGTGGTTTATTGTCTTAAGGGGGTGGCATGAGCTGCTTGAAAATAATAGCAGCCTCGGAGTATTTACAGCCTTGTGATGAGGCTCTGTAATTAGCCCCATGCAACACATGCTGAGGCTCAGTAACCCAGCTTAATTAAGGTCTCAGTTCATAAGGCTCAAACCCAGGCAAACTGTCTTGAAAGGCTCACTCATCGTGTCTCTGTGACTCCGACTGGAGGATGGGCTGTGGGAGATTAGAGGGAGAGATGTCAGTGAAGACGCTGCTCGAAGAGTCTAAGACAGTATTTCTCAAACTTACCGTTCATTTCCTAGCTTTACACTATTTTGCCATATCCAAGAAACACCTTTGATATTTAACTCCTCTTTTTAAGCTTAATTTTAAAGGGCAACCTGAGGATAACGACAGAAATACCCCAACAGGTACAAAAGTCAGGAAGGGTCATGGCCCCAGAGACAGAAAGCTGCACTTGGAGGACAGAGAAGGCCGGACATATCAGCGCAGGGCAGCAAGAAGCAAGTTTGGGGCCGGGCCCAAAGGGTGGAGAAGCAGCAAGAAGATACTGGGGTTGTCGGGAAAGTCATGACGTGTTTTTGCATTGAAAAACATAGAAAAATACGCCACGACTTTCCCGATGACCCAATAGTTACTGAGAATACCGTACCAAGATGGCAGCTCCAGCCAAGGCGGATCAAAATGTGAGCCCGGGCAGTGAGCCTGAGGTAGTGACACAGATGATGAGGTGGGGGGATTGTGGAAGAGTGAGACTGGGATTGAGGAAAGGAGCGCTGCAGCTGAGAGAAGGATGAAGTCCAAGAAGTGAACAGAGGAATGAAGGCCGATTGATGGGGAGACTCAGGCTGGGTCGGGGATATTTCAGGAGGTTTAAGGGCATTGTAGGATGAGAAAAGGAGGGGTTGCAGAGGATTCAGGGAAGAGCTCCAGGCGTGAGAAGTGAGGGGTGGGTGGGGGCTGAGAAATGGCGCAGCAGGGTGACTTGTGGCATAAGACATTGGAGAATAGAATTGGGTGCTCAGCCCCAGCACATCGTATTTTGTAGTTTGTCCCTGCGTCTGAATCCTGAACATAATGATATTGGACCTGTCATCCATGTACCACCAGAAATCTGCTCGAATACCTCCAGCGGTGGCACCACCTTTGGAAATTACTGGCATGGGCAAAGGATGAGAAAAAGCCTGAGTTAAAGAAGGGGATACTTGGAGGCCATTGCTAAGTTTCTAGAACATTTGGGCCATCATTATTCTGTTTGCTTTTTTTACCCTCCACAGTGCCAGGCATGAAATTTTCACTTACGTTAAAAAGACAGAACTAGAGCTGAGTCTTGAGACATACATTAATAGTAAGAATCCTGTTCATGAACTACAAGGTAAAGAAGAGGGTGTCTGACTGGGTCTGACAGAACATTTGCCCTCACAAGCAGGAACATGTTTTCAGGGAGCTGACAGACTGCCCTACCTCACTGGAAACTAGAAAGGCCTTGCAGATTTAGACATTGCACAAAAGTGAGAAAAAAGAAATCAAAGGATTGTAGACTGGGCTTAATGTTTCAAGATCATAAACCGTTTCCCATTGCCTACAAAACCACTTATGTCTGGGTACATTGTGCTCTCCTGAGAAACAATTTTTGAAATTGTGGCCAACAGATCCTAAGGTGACCCCACTGATTCTTCCCTTCTGGCATTCACATCCTTCTATACTAAGAGTAGGTGGGACCTGTGACTTGCTTCTAACCAAAAGAATATGTCAAAGCTGATGGAAAGTGATTCCTGTTATTGTTATGGTATCTAAGCCTCTTGCCAGCAGAGTCTTTCATTCTCCTGTTAGCCTTGAAGAAACCAGCAGCCGTGTTGTGCAGCTGCCCACAGAGACAGCCAAGTGGCAGGGAACGGTGGGCAGCTTCTAAGGGCTGAGGGCAGCCAACGGCCAATGGCCAGCAAGAAACTGAAGTTTTCAGATCTATCGCTACAAGGAAAGGAATTTGGCCAACAACCTGAAAAGAGCTGGGAGGCAGGTTCTCCCCCAGTCAAGCCTTTAGATGAGCTCTAGCCTGAAACCTGGGCTGTAGCCTTGTGAGGAGAGGAGTGTTCAGACTACTGATCCACAGAACCTGGGGGAGAAATAATACATGTGTTTTGCTTTCAGCTGCTGAAGTTATGGCAATTTATTATATAGCATAGAAAATATAGAAAATCTAATATAGAAAAGAAAAAAAAGAAAAGGAATACTGAATTACTGGCCATTTGGGATATTTATTAATGAAGATCAAAGATCCAAAGGGCCGTCTTCAGTGCTCATTGCCATGATCTTAAGAGTTGGTCCTTCCATGTCATGATTATTGTCACCTTTGACACTGCAAAGCTGAACAGACTGGGAAAGTGCTGGGCTAAAACAACATAATTCATTTGACGTCTCAACCTTCTCAGTATCACTGTCACCTTCAATGACATTCACCAAGGTTTCTTGGTCCGTTAAGCTCTCTGAAATACTTGGATTTTTTTCATCCCAAAATGAAGGTCCAAGATTTGTTTGCTCTTTTACCTGTTGAACTATAACCCCTTCTGAATACTTTGATTTACAGACAGGCATGAAAAATTCATTTGGTGAGAATCTCTCATTCTCATCCTTTGGTGCAGACAATAACATATCCAAAGCTTTTTGGTATTCTTGACGTTCCTGTTGAATTGCTGTATCTTGTTCTTTTTTATATTCATTTTGTTCTGAATTTTCAGCCTCTTCAAGTTCAAGTAAATTCAACATATCAATTCCCTCTAGTTTTATGTCGTCTAGCTTTTCCTTAGATGTGCAGCCTAAGTTCACCTTCAGGATATGCAGCAGGTGGCGCATTTTCCCCTAAGATTAAGAAAAAGACAACAATTCCATTAATTAAGCTAGATAAATTGAACTACTTTTGTCTGCAGTGCTGCTAATCTCTGCAGTATCAATACTTCTTCCACCCTATTCCTAAACACACACACAAAATGCAAGGGAAAAAAAGCATTTGCTTTTAATGCATCTTTGAGGGTATGTGAAAACTTAAAAATTCTTTCGATGTTAGAATTTTTCTAATGAAGTTCTAAGGAAATACAAACCTCTTCCAAATGGTGTTTATTTTGTCTGATATGTCGCTCAAACAGTTGTTCTAAAAACCTACAAATGATAAAGAAAAATGTTAATGTCTCAAAATCAGAAAATCAACTAAATGTAAAATAGCCATGCAATAACTAAACTACTAAGGGTTGGAAAAAAAAAATATATATTTTTAAAGATTTTTTTTATTTATTGGGGAATAGGGGGGATGGGAACAGCGCTGGGGAATTGGGGGAAGGGGAACAGACAAGTTGCTGTCGTTTTGTTCTTCAGTGGAGGATGTTGTTCAGCATCTTAGCTGTAGAGGGCAGTGTCACTGGCCCTCATGTGGGATCCGAACCGGGGCCCTCTGGCGTCCCAAGCCAGCTCCTAACCATCGCGCCACTCGGCTGGCCCGGAAAATATTTTTTAGATTACTCTTCTTTCCAAAGATAAAGATCAATCATTCCCTAGTTTGGAAGCTGATACGGCTTCCACTATGGTTTTAATTGAACATAAAGGGATGCCAATGCTTCTGAAAGACTTCATGCTACTTACATTTCTGTGAATAAAATATTTTAAATGAGGGACAAGAATTCCTCCTCTCTCTCTCTCTCTCTCTCTCTCTCTCTCACTCTCACACACACACACACACACACACACACACACACACACACATACACATGTGCAAACAGTACAGGCCTCTCCCTCCCTTCTCTCTCTTTCACATACACACTACCCCCACAAACCAAACCCTAAAGAAAATTCTCTTATGAAGAGTTATTTTACAATGCTTCCTAAAGTATACTTGAGAAAAATTCCTTGGATAGTAAATCCATATAATAACCTAAAAGTTATCACTTACTAAGCACCACTAAGTACTAGGCACATAATAATCATTATATCTCTAATCATGACCAACACTGGGAAAGAGAGGTATTGTAAAACATTTTAAAGATGAGAAAACTACATTTCTAAGACAATGATTTCCTCTCCCTCAAGGTCACAGCCATTAAGAGAATTTAACCCAGATGTGTCTGGCTCCAGACAGTTGATTCTTTCTACTATATCATGCTTGTCTTCTATCACATGAGTATCAACAGGTTTCTGGAAAACTCATTTCCTTTGTTACCATTTGTTATTTTCAACGAAGTCATGAACCAACCTTACATTCAGTAGCTCTGTGTAATTTAAAAACCCAAGAAATCCATCTCCTACATTTTACGACTGTTGATGTTTTGGAATATTCACTCCTAAGCAATTTTCTATGCATATTTCTTTCTTTACCAAAGCTGGGATGAAACAATACATACAGTTTAGATACCTATTTTGTTTTTTCTAATTATATATTTTGAATATCTTCCTGTATCAATAAATTCACTTGTACAATATTTAAGTCTCTGAACAGAACTTACGCATAAATATTCTACAATTATATTCAACCAAACCTTTACTACTGACCACCTAGGTTGATTCAATTTCTGGTGCTATTATAAAAAACACTGCAATAAACAGCCTTATGAAATCTAAGAAAAAAATATAAAACTTTTTAGCATAAATACATGTTTTATGCAAATGTTTTTGTTTTATTTTTGCTTTATAATTAATATTTTTATTGTTGTGGGAAAAACACAACAAAATACACCATCTTAACCATTTTTAACTGTACATTCAGCAGTGTTAAGTATATTCACATTGTTGTGAAACAGATCAATAGAACTTTTTCATCTTTCAAATCTGAAACTCTGTACCCATTATACAAACATTTTTAACTACCTTTTTAAAAGTGAAAGCAACAAATGGAATTATTGTAATAAAACTTAGGTCTTTTTGAAACTTCATACAGGAGTAGAAATAATTCGTTAGATTGAACTTCACATACTATTATATGACAGGGAAAGTGTGCAGTATACATGTTAACAGGGCGTTATGCTACATAACAAAGTGGGAGTCGGTGTCCAATGAATTTTAGATAAATAAATGTTCAAGCTGATTCAGGACCACACAGTTTCCTTAGATGTGTTAAGACCTAATCTATTTTTGCAAACTTTCCACTTCATTTACAGTATGCAAACCTAGCTTTTATTTTGCCTTACTTTATTAGTAACAGTTGTAACCAAAATACTTGCTTTTGATTCTTACCACAATTTCAAATAGCAAAATGGGATTATGGATCTTTGCAAATAGGCAAAAATTTATTTTACCAGTCTATTATAACCAAGAGATATAACAGTATTTAAATAAATAAAATGTTTTTCTCTATAACGCCCCCAAACTTTAAGCCTGACTACAGTATGAATAAAAACATACATTACAATTTGCTATCAATTATAAGAATATGGTCCCCCAAAAAAGCAAGATAATTTTTCATTTCCTATTATGGGGAGATAACTTTAAAAATTTAATACCAAATGAAGAGTAATGTACTCTTAATCACCATGTATTATTTAAAAAATCTAACCTGTTTGAAAATAGACCAAGTTTCAAAATTTCATCTGTTACATCTTCAATGAAACTCAGATACAACAGTTCTTCTTCACTGTGAAGGCAAAGCAATACAGAGAATAAAAATTATTCATTACTTACTCTGAAAACTATAGGAAATATGAGTACCTAATTCAAATGTACTTCTCTCCGACATTAAAAGAAATATTATAAAACAAACATGTCGACCTTCTGAAATTATGCAAAGATAAAGATTAAAGATGAGAAAATACTCCCTAACAGAGTAAAATTTCAAAGATGTCTGCAAAATCCATCCACCAGTAAAAACTATGCAGGGATTAAACAAAAGAGAGATCGACTAAGGGCAAGAGGACGACCGAGTGTGAAGCAGTGGGGCATGCGCTCAGAGAGGGCAGTGAGCGCGGCTGGCTCCCGGCCACATGCACAGCACGGCTGTGAGCCCCTCTGCACGGCACATGCAGGAAGGGAAAGAGACAAGTCGTCCAGGGAAGCGGGAACTTCAACTATGCAATCCTCTCCTGCTCCTAGGACAGCATCCTGTTTTAAGGTTGGGAACTAGACTGAACAGAAAAACTTATTTTTTTTCTTCAAAATGTTTGAAGAGGCGGAAGATAGTCAAGTAGGAAAATTTGTGTAGAAAAATACAGTAGTAATTTTTAATTACTTGGGCATATTTATTATATTGTCATATGAGATAACTATATTTTAGTAGTTATCACAAAATTAGGATACTATTGTAAGTTTGATTTTAATTAGCTGAAATTAGTGATTTGATAGAAAATGCAAATAGCATTTATTAATGTAAATATTCAATTACTAAGTAAATATAATGAGAAGAGTTAATAAGCAACTCAGATAATAGATTAAAACGTATAAAGTTATACTTTCAAACTGATTCAGTCTCTAATATTTAAATAGCAAGTTTGAGAATAAATGAAACAATAAAAATAGATTATTTTCCTTGAAAAAAATGTAGTTTAAAACAATATTAAAACCTACAAGTGTAATATCTGCAAAGAAGTGGTGAAGTTAGAAACCTCCAGGAAGGCTATCCTGAGGTATTAAAAGTCTGAATTTCTTGAAAACTCTGTTACTTTTACTTATAAAAATAAACAAAAATGACAGATATAATTATAAAAAAATAGCAGGTATTATCTACTTAGGGACAAATTTCCACGGGACATAAAGATAAAGTGATAATTATTTCAGAAAACTCTTGTCATTTTCTAAAGTTAGCATGGATTGTATGATTGAACCCCAAAATTGGTTTTAAGAGAGATTAGTGTGCAATTCCTGAGTTATTTAATGATGGCTTGTGTGATTCTTAATTCTTGGTTTCCCCTAAGCAAAATGAAGGGGTGAGAAAGATCTTACTCAGAATAGATTTTTCTCCTTGAAGGGGGCTGCAGGAAATACTGACTTACTGCCCTGGAAAGAGAAAATTGAAATATTTAACAAAACAATGGTTGGTGTACAATAAATGTTCAATAATGAGGTGTGATAAAAAAATATGGTGAATGCTGCTGCCAAGTGCCATCAAACAGAAAGACAGGGATCTTCAATACGGGAAGTGGCATGTCGAACCTTAGTGTATGACAAGTTTCAACTTGTTCGGTGCAGTCAGTTGGGTGTGAGCTGTGGTTGAGAGAAGGTGTGTTTTAAAGTGTGCTGTGAGTCATCATGACAACGCTCCGTGTCACACATCACTTGTGATATGGCAATTTCTGTCAAAAACATTATGGTGTGTCCTCATCCACCTTAGTCACCAGATCTGGCACCCGTGACTTCTGGCTCTTCCCCAAGATCAAAATGATGATGAAAGGTAAACGTTTTGAATCGATTCAGGACATCAAGGCAGCCATAACAGTGCAACTAAAGACACTCACGAAAGAGGGCTTCCAGAACTGCTTCAGAAAGTGGCAAGAATGATGGCATAAGTGTGTTCGAAGTGAGGGGGGAGTATTTTGAGGGGGATTTAATTGCAATGTATCTTTTACTGTAATACATTTTTAAAAATTTAAACATTCATCATAGTTTTTGATCACACCTTGTATTAATAATGTTTTATATCCCTGATCTAATCTAGCCTTTAGAACAACCCTGTCAGGTATATTGATTGGGTAGGTATTATTTTTCTCACTTACTAATGAGTTCACCGGGGGCAGAGAGGCTAAGTAACTTGCAAAGGTCACAAGTAAGTAGAAAAGGAAGATTTTTAAACTAGTGATCTAATTACAAATTCATAAGCCTTTTTAAAACTAGACTATGGTACTTACATAGTATAAACAATGACAATTTGACTAAGGTTAACAAATATAATGCTGAAAACATATTTGTGTAGGAATTTTTAAAGCTGCTCATCATGTAAAATTTGTCATTATTCAGTTATGTCATCATTAGTTAGAATTCTAAGCTTTTTGTTCAGGTATACTCAATTATCACATTTCTTTTAGAAGCTACTAGAAAAGATAAATATACCTTTTTTAAGCGATTCTTTATATTCATTGCAAACTGGCTCAAGGGTAGCTTATACATCTTAAGTGATGAGTGCCATGGCATCGTGAAGTTCAAGGCAGGTTAGCAATGAGCCCTGCAGCCCGGCCTGGGAGACCTCCCGGAAAAGCCCGCAGGAGGAGCTGGCCTTCCTTTCTTCCACCTCCTTCATCTCACATCTCATCTCTGACACTGGACATGCATTTGACAGCTGAAGCTATCAAAGGCATTTAAAAAATTTTGTACTAGAGGCACTAAACCTGTCTTTTTGGATTTAGGTGCAGTATTTCATAATCCCTAACCAAGATGAGTAGTTTTAAAGAACAGTGCCTCTACATAGCATGGACAGATCAAGCACTAGCATATGGTGAATATTCTAAATCACAAATGAGGACTCCTCCAATGGTAAGGTGGTCAGTACTGTCTGTGTCACGTCAACTGGTTAGCATCCCTACAGAGGATTTCTCTTGGGGAAAATCCTTTTTTCACACAAATAGTGATGGCAAATGATACAACCCAATGGCCTTTGTTCATTAATGAATTAGTAAAATGAATTCATTGAAACTTATTACTGAGTACCTACTTTGTAAAATTTCCTTAGCAAAACCCCGCCACTGAATTGTATCACATCAGAGTATAATGAAATAGTGTAGAGGCCTGACCGCTGCACTGTATTTGTGAAGCTGATGTTGAATAATATTGTATGTCAACTATAATTATATATACATATAGTCACGGGACGTGGAGTAGAGCGTGTGGGAATGGAGTCAAGGGAATTGTAATAGAGAAGTATGATATCAGGGGTGGGAGGGCAGTAGATGGTGGAGGGGTTTTGTTTCTGTATGAGGGGTGAAAAGCATAACTATTGCATTGTTCTGTACACCTGAAACTAATAATAAAAGAAAGAAAAAGAAAAAAAAAAGAAATAGTACGTATGCTGCAAATACTGCTTGTCTGTCATACAGGAAAGCAGTTAGCTGGAGACAGTTGAAGTGCTTTCTCCTGCGAGCTGCTCACCTTGACAGGGAATACTGAAGAGTGCTGTCTCTCTTCTCACCCCGTGGTAAGCCATGATCTTGTGAAGGTAAAGGGGCTATTCTTTCTTTGGTACCACATGTTGTACAACTAGGTTCCTGGGGCTGCAATGAAAAGAATAAATCTTAATTTTGCTTCAAAAATACATTATAAAAGCAGAAATAAAGCATAAGAGCAAATTAAAAAAAAAAAGTCATGGTAAGCAAGTAGGGATACCCAGTAGATAAAAGTGACAGATATATGATGACACAGGATGTTTAAGAATATGTTTTTTATCCAATCAGGATGTTTTCCTTAAATTTATTTAAAATTAAGATAAAACAACCTTTTATAATTTTTTTAATGAGGGATACTTTAAATGACATTAAGAAATCACCACAAATAAACATATAAAAAGAAAATGAAGGAAATTTGCAAGTTTTAGATAAACTTGAGAAAAAATATCCCATTATTCAGAAATTCAAACAGCCCATCTGTTTCAAATGCCAACATGTCACAGAAGCATGGCAGCGTGAACAATAATATTAACAAACGAAGCTACTGGCAGCTTGCTTTCATAGAATCTGTACTATGGGTCACATGCTGTGCCAAAGCATTTATTTACATTATAGGATTTAATCTTTACCATGCAAATTTATGTCTAGTGCTTTGCAGTTTTTAAAAGGGCTGTTAAAATGACGGTCTACTGCCTTAATACTCTACTAGCTTCCTCCAGCAGACAGCTGCTAGTACTAATTATGGAATACAGGGACACACCATTTTTTTACAGGGCTATGGATAAACATTTGGAACACACTTATTCTGCCTTAGTTTATTTAGTCACGCAAAGAGCTAACTCTCTTCCTAAACCTCAAGCTGGTCGTCAGCATCATTTTTTCATCCCTGGCTGTGCTAGGCCCTTCCTTCGCCTTGCATATTCCTTCCAACAATCCTGTGTGTTACAAAGTTTTCCTAGATGTGGAAACTCAGCTCTCGGAGGATAAGTGATTTGTCCCTTGGGCCTTAAGTGGCAGGTCCCTATGTCAAGTGGCTATTAATGGCTGAGACGGAAACCACAGTCCTCTCCCCATTTTCCGAAGGGAAGATGGAAGTTGAGTGTGATGACATTTTCTTCTTCTATCCCTGAATCTGTGTTTGACATTTTAATAGACAAACCTTTTAAAAACCAATAAATTTAAATTAGGTCACAAGTATATGATTAATAGCCCCAAAAATAATTATCTCAAAATCAAAGTTGTGATATTTTAAAAAGAAATGAATGCAAAGCATTCAAAATATAAACACTGTAAAGAAGACCTTCATGGTACAGAATAAAGTAGAAACAAACATAAGAGAATGACATACCCATCGATTATAAAATGTATAATTTTAAATAATATAATCAGTGGCAATTCTTTAAAAATATACAGGCATAAAAACTAAAATAACTTCTGCACAACTTTTCTGGATCCTTCAGTAATCCACGACTGCATCTTTCAAAATAACAACTCAGGTATTTTATTCATCCACTCATCAGTCCAGCCAGTCAAACAACCACCTAGAAGAGATGCTAATAACAAGTGATTTCCCAGGTTGGCAGGATCCATCTGGCCATTCTCAGATAACTATAACCACTCATGATAGGCACACCTTCTGTACACTGGCTATAACATATGCAAGAGGTGTCACCAAGAGATTACTCTTCACAGCCTGAGAGCTAAACACATTCTACTAAGTAAAGCAGCTGTAATTCCAACGTGGAACACAAGATATCTCATTTTTATTACCTGCTCTGTGTTCACTTCTGAGTCTGTGACGTTCGTTGTCTCAGCTGCCTCACGATCGGATTTAGAGCTGTAATATTTAAAAAGAATTGCTGTTAAGCCTTCAAAATACAAACACTATGATAATGAACTTCATTGTCTAGAAAAAATAAACACGGGTTGAAAATCATCTATTCTTATAAAATGTGTTATTTCTAATTATATAATTAGGAAATAGATATGGTTTGGACTACATATGCTTTCCCCTCCCTTCCCTTTTTAAACAGCAGCTAAATTTCTGTTGGCCAGAATGGGACTAAGGGAAATGGAACTGTTATCTTCAAAAACTGTCATAAATATAATCAGAAAAGCATATGATATACTTGCTTTCCTCATTTCTCCTTCACTTGACAAGGTCTATCAAAGATTAAATTCCTTAATTCTTTGATTAAATGTATGCTGTACATTAAGTGATACTACCGTACCCCTTATCTTTACCCAGAAAAAAGAATACTATTCATAAACATAATTTTTACTTTCTAAAATAACTAAAACCTTGTACCTGATAAAATATTTGTTTATATAACACTAGGAAAAACAATCACAAATTAGCTAACACTTAATATTTTATAAGATTTGTTTGTTTCTTCAACCACTTGGAAAACTTTTACTGAATACTCATTAAGTGCCAGGCACTATTGTATATGAAAACATTATTGGGGCAAATTTTACTTAATTTCCAGAAATTACCCCAATTGTCTAAATTATACCTGGGGAGTTGCTGCTAACAAGACTGGGATTGAACATTTGCAGGGAAGGGCGCTCATGGGGCGTTAGATAAACAGTTGTTTTTTTGACGTATTTTAAGGATTCCCTGGAAGTATATTTAAAAACATACACAAGTTCTAGTACCATGTTTAAAACAACAAACTAAAATATGCAACGTTCATGTTTACAGGGAGCTAGACAAGCTTAATACTTTGCTAGTTTTTCAACAATTAGTCTGCTAGTTCTCGTGATACATGCAAAAGGAAAAGTCACACTAATCTCATTCCACTCAAAAGGCGCATAAGATACGCGATATAAAATAAGGAATATTATTTAATTTCTACACCATCCTGAAGGATGTACTGTTGGCTGCTGATGTGCCATACCTGCTTAATTCAGTCTGGCTTTCAGCTTCTATCCGCTGATCTGTGAAATCCTTTTTTCGTTTGGCAGGTGTATAATATCGATACTGTGACAGGAAAGATTTTGCTTCTGTTTTTAAAGTGCGTGGAGTGAATGGCAAATGTCTGTTAGAAAAGAGTTCAGAATGTTTATCCAGAAGGTCCCCACTGGGTGCTTTTGAAATAACTAACTGAAACCGCTGGGGATTCGGAAATGTGCTCCTGGGCCCTCGGCCACACGAGGCTCCAGACCACACTCTCCTGGGTCCGGGGGCGGTGTGATCCACACTGGATAAGAAGGAGCGGGCGGTCTTCTCAGTACCATTTGTGAGGACTTTATTGGACTTAGGTAGACTTAGGTGTAGTCTCTCTGAAGAAGTTACCGGTGACCTTGAAAAGGATGAACGGCCATTCACTTCTTCGATTAACACGTCATCTTCATTTTGTGGTTCTCCTGAAGGCTAAGAACATTGGGTATGATAGTCATCAATTACGTTTACAAATTCATATAATAGGGGAATTTCCAGATTATACATTTAAAAATGGTTGCCTCAGGGGTCTACAAGGTGTGATCAAAATCTAAGGTGAATATTAAAAAAAAAATTATAGTAAAAGACACATTGCTATTAGTCTCCCTCAAAATACTCCCCTTCGCTTGGAACACACTTATCCCATCATTCTTGCCACTTTCTGAAGCAGGTCTGGAAGTCCTCTTTCATGAGTGTCTAGTTGCACTGTCATGGCTGCCTCGATGTCCTGAATCATTGTTACTTTGGGGAAGAGCCAGAAGTCACATGGTACCAGATCCGGTGAATAAGATGGATGAGGACACACTGTAATGCTTTTATTGGACAGAAATTTATTGTACCAGAAGCGATGTGTGACACAGAGTGATGTCATGATGGAGGATGAAACCATTTGCCCATTTCAAGTTAATGTGTTGTTCATGATCCATGATTTACGGCACACTTTAAAACATACCTTCTCTCAACCGTAGCTCACACTCGACTGACTGCATCAAACAAGTTGAAACTTGTTATACACTGTTACTAAGGTTCAATGTGCTGCTCCCCATATTGAAGATCCCTTCCTTTCTGTTGGATGGCACTTGGCAGCAGCAGTCACTGTATTTTTTTATTATACCTCGTACAGAATTAACTTCCATGTTCCTGAAGATGTTAGCATTGTATATAAAGTTCTATTCAAGCTTTTGAATTATTTCCACAAAAATATAATTTTAAGTATAAGTAATAGCAATCATTTTTCTTTCTGAAGCTAAAAAAATGATTCATAACATATACCTATGTTTGTGGTTTTAACTTGCGTATTGAGATCTACTGGTAGGTCTCAGTTTTACCTAAAAGTTTCCAAACCAATTGTGAGCCCCAATCCCCTTCTCAACCACTGTTGGTGGCAGCATCTTCCCCTTCCCATTTGTCATTATGGCAGTCTTCAGTGCCAGCAGTTCCTCTGTGACTTCACAGCTTTGAAGAAATGAAAAGGGACTTCTCCTCACAATATATGGAGCCCTGACTTAAGTAACTGATATTTCAAATATAACTATGAAATACTTATTACATAAAAAGTTAACTTATGTTTCTCAGGTTCTCCTCATGAGTGGAAAAAGCTTTGAAAGGGAGGGTGTTTCTGACTGCTCCATTTTTTTTTTTTGGTTTAATCTTGGAAGAACCATTTATACAGAATATCTATAAAGTCTAAAAACATACATATTTTATTCTTTTAACAGATGAGATGCCCCAAAAGCCTTGTCTATGATTCCAGACTTTATGGACACCTGTGTGTTCTTTACAGAACTATGAGTCACTGTATTAGGAAGAGGAGACGTTACATGGAAGTGACAAGCTGAGGTGAAAATGGCTAGGATGTAACCAGTTATATCTGTCCTACAAGTTCATGGGGAGAAAAACAAGAGGAGTAAGGCAAGAGCCAAGGGCTTCCTTTGTGCAAGGTACTGTTGTTGCCACTGAGTAGAATAAAAGAGGAATAACAAGACTGTCTATCATTGCTACTAATATGTTTACCATTTGCAAGGTGTTGTTCTAATTGATTTACATTGATTTACAACTCATTTAATCAGCATTTAACTTCTGAGTGGTAGTACAATTATTACCTCTGTTTTACAGATGAAGAAACTCCGGCACAGGGTCTCATAGATTTGAACCCAGACTGAGCCTATGCTCTTCACCATTACATTATATTATCTAGTTTAAAGACTCATTTGAAAGTCATATATTTTTAGATTTTTTTACACCACCAGGGATCTAAAACTAATTTTAACTTCTTTCCTGGTAGTGAACAACTCAGCTAACCTAAGTACTGATTTATCTAAGTAAGGAATTGCAGATAACTGGGTATTGTGACTACTGCCTAAAATGGGTCAAGTCACCTAGTTCCTTTCCAAGTACTTTCTAACCCTATCCCAATTACAAGGCAAAATTACTCAAAGCAAGTAAGTATTTTGGCAGTAAAGTTTGAGTCACTAGGGTACTGTTTGGTCAATGACTGTAATATGTTAGTTTTAAAAAGTACTCCCAAACTAGACCCACACTGCAGCTTATTTACTAGAAGAGTTTGGCTCCCTGGGAAGACATTTCTAAGTATGATCTGAAAATCCTTTAGGGCTATTAAATAATAATTACACTTAGAGGAACAGTAAAAACTGAGATCAGAGCAGGCAGAAATGCCCAAGACATTAGATTGCCTTAAGAAATTCTTATTAGTAATGGTTATTTAGTAAACAAAATGAAATACCAAAGAAAGTCTTTAAAGGCAGAAATATATCCTCATCTGTCTGAAATGGGCTGGAAAATCTGCTTTTGAACTGACAGAAGGCATGAAACTTTTCTGTACTTTAATGTCTCATATTCCCTACCTTGTATCCTACTTTTTCTTTCCTTGGAAACCAGTAGAAAACAGTATGAAATCAACTGTACCAATCTACTGTTTTGAAATTATATTGTTTCCTCTAGCCATAAATATCAGAAAGCTTGGGTGGATATAATTTTCACAGAAAATGTGTAACACACTGGTAATAAATTCACCAAAATTTGAACAGCACTGTAAAGTTCTAAAATCAGAAAAGGGTTCAATTATATGACAATTCAACAAAAATTCTGGTGGTAGTCTGACCACATTCATGGTCTTATGTCATCCTTATAGTTCAATACATTTGTTGTAAAGTATTTCAAAGTTATAATCATTGCATAGTTTTCATATACATGTTTTTATGTCAAGAACACCTGTCCAATTTTACAATCACAGAACAACTGAGTACTAAATCTTTTTCATGTATAATGTCAGAAGAAATGGTATACAAAGATTTTCCAATTGACAGGTTTTAAAACAGTTGAAGAGTCAATTCAACTGCAGAACAGGATAGGTACAAATTATTTTAAAATATGGTTAACATTTGTTTTGCAAAAATGGTTCAAATTATATTTTATAGAAGAAACTGACAGCTCTCGATTTCCATTGTTTTATACTGCCTTTAAAGTAGATTTATTTAGGAATATGGATCACATCCACATATTCATTTAATCTTAATAGCACATAGTGTTGCTTCACCAGGGATGTGAATGAGTGGTGAATAACTGACGGGGGCGGAGGGGGCACAGAGTGCAAACTGGAAAGACACAGGGGGGTCCTGAGGTGACAGCCTGTGAGTCAAGATGTGAGAGAAAGAAAGTAGCATGAGAGGCCGGCCGAGTGGCTCAGTTGGTTAACCCATTGTTCGCGGGAAATGAGTAAACTCGTCATAGCGCTTTTTATACCAAAGCGCAGACGAGTTAACTCAGGTATAGAGACCTCTTTGTTACGATGCGATTTGGCGGGAAAATGCCCACTTACAAAGTGTTAAGAGCTTGCTCAAGAGTTTGAACTCTGAGCAACAGCAGTTCGATGCCTGGCCCGAGCTGAGCTGCCGCTGAGCTGCCAACAGGTGGCAGGGTGGCTCAGCTTAAAAAAAAAAAAAAAAGAAAAGAAAGTAGCATGAGCGTGTGGACAATTAAAAGACTTTTAATTAACTGACCTCATTTATGTATACAAATGGGTAATATGTCCAAAGACTAAAGTCACATTTTCTTCTTAATTGTAGCAAACTTTTCAGTAAAGCAGATTATAACTATGACAGGTATCTCATAACCATAAAACACATGTACTTATCAAATATTGTGCCCACAATAATAATTTTAATTTGAATATGTATAAATATTTATAAAGGCTTATAAAAATGTAGGCAAATTTTAAGTTACTGTGAATTCTAAATGGACTAGAAAACACATCTAGATTAAGGCATAAATGAACTCCTTTATGGAGGCAAAATGTATAGGGTTACAGTGGCTAAAGGGTAAATGAATACAAAACATCTTACATTTACAGATTTAATTATATATTTTATTTTCAACAAACCCACTTATCTCAAAATACAATTACTAATTTATATTTAAAATGCTGGCTAATAGGAAAATATTTTAAAATTTCAGTTAAAAAGCACAATCACTAAAAATGAAAATACACATGTGAGTCAAATATTGATGAACAGATTCCCAGATGGCAACCGGTAGTACAGCGGATAGATTTATTCTAACGGAAGCAGCTCTATTCCTGGTCCTTTTATCTATATGAGAGACCTGGGGGCTCTTACGCATATTACAGCTCCCCTGGTAACTCCCAAATCTATTTTCAGCCCAGACTTCTTTCCTGACGCAGATGCTTGTATCAGCTCTCTACTGAATATAGATGTTCCAGAGGCACCTCAAGTCAAGCACATCCAAACAAATAAACTCAGCCCTTACATTATCCACCCCTCCAAAGAAAACATCGCCTTTTGTCCTGTTATCGTTACTTCATGAATGGCATATCACCATCTTCCCAGTTGCCCAACCCAGAAACCTGGGAACTCCTTCATTTAGGCCTCTTGCTCTTCACATCATCAAATAAGTCACCAAGTCCTGGGGATTCTACTTTCTAAATGTCTCCTAAATATATTCCCTGTGCTCCTTCTGCTATCTTGGATCAGGTCTTAATCATCTCTTCCCCAGATTACTGCAACTGTCTCGTAACTGGTCTGTCTTTCCCTGGCGCCAGTGTACTCTTTGTAAACTGTCAGTATGACGACCTAACTTCCCAGCTAAAATCTGGCCTATGGCACCCCACACTTCTGAAAGCAAAACACTGGGACTCGCTGTGATGGCGCAAACGCCCTTACGTGTTCCCCTGCCTGCTGATGTGTCACAACTCCATGTACAATGGGAACAGCTGGAATAAAAAATATGGCAGTGATCCCTAAAAAGCAGAGCAGTGAAACCGGCTTTTATTAACAGGCAACAGTTTTTTGTTCTTTTTTAAAATCACATCACATGTGCTGGGGGACAGAAAACAAAGCTCAGGGACTGATTTAGACAGTCTAGGAGATCTCACTCATGAATCTGGGATCCTTTCAATGGCTGCACCCCAACTAGGTGACCTGCACAGAAACCTGCCTGGTACTGAGTGAAAAGGGACACTGGTCTTTGAGAATCTGAAATCATATGCTGCCCCACGCAAGCCTGCAGCCTAAATTTGTATAACCGAGATGGTCCACAAATACCCTAAGCCAAGAAAAATGACTCGGTGTTTTCTAAAACATAAATTGTAAAGGGATATAAAGGTAGGGAAGGAGAAGTGATAGATTAAAAGAAATTTATTCATTAGTTGAAATTATTTAGATCCCAATTCTAACTAAAAAAATATATATATAAGACAATAGGAAAATCTGAAGAGTGGGTATTTGATGATATTAAAAAATTACTAATTTTTAAGGCAAAATAATGGTATTGTGATCTATCTTTTAGATACACACAAATATAATTATGGATGAAATTATATACTATCTGTGATTTGCATCAAAATAATCTGGGATTAGATAGTGAGTCAGGGTATAGGTGGAATAAGTCTGATCCTTGTTGCATCTGGGGCAAGAACCTGTGGGTTCATTATACAACTAGTTTTGTAGATGCTATGATTTTCAAAATTAAGAAGTTTGGAAAAGAAACTACCACACACAAAAATAAATCAGATTCAAGTTTCAGCTGAGGAATGAAGAGAGATGGAAGGAGCTTTGCTTTCACCATTACAATAAGAAAAAAGCTGGGTGAATTACAAATTAATGATTTTTCTTAAATTAGTGAGAGAGCTAAGGTCACAGAGCAAACAACTAACCTGAAAACTGGAGAGAGAGACACTTGCAGAGGGTAACAGGACCTGAGCATTTGCTTATTTGGGACAGGGGCCACTGAGTGCCACATACACTGGTAAGAAGATTACCCTAGGAGTTTTTTTTTTTTACTGCTAAAGGCCGTAGACTAGCGTGAGAGTGTGAAGCCCCTGAGACTTGGGGAGTTTAAACTCTATTGCAGGCTTTTTCCTCCAGGAAGCCCACCAGGATCTCACAGGAAAGAACAGGGAGACTCCTAAGAATGCTTTCTCTTCCCCTGTTCCCTTGGTGTGGCTGGAGGAGGGGAAAGCCATTTCTACAGCAGCCATTGCAGAAATTCCTCCCGGACCCATTTCCTGAACTTTCTTAAGTAACGAAAACTTTAATCCACAGAAGGAAATTCCTTTCACTTTTGCCATGGAACATAATCACGGAAGTGATATCCTACCTTTGCCATATTCTATTGGTTAGAAGCAAGTTACAGGTTCTGCCTATACTCCAGGGGAGGGGATTGTTTAAGGGTGTGGGTCATCGTGGGGGGATGTCATCTTAGAATTCTGCCTACTACCGTGCGTCACATGGACAGTACAAGATAAGAAAGCAGAAGAAAAAACATGCTAAATGCTCCACTTAAAAGACAGATTTTCAGGGTAAATTATCTGACCCATCTAAAACTTTAGGACCTACCTAAAACATTAGGATTAAAAAATGAAAAAAGATACACCAAAGGAATGCTAATAAAAAGAAAGCTGGTTTACCTATATCACTATCAGAAACTACTACAAACAACATTAAGGTAAAGAAGTTAAAAACAGTGATAAAAGGCTTGATTTATCAAGAATATATCATCTCTGAATCTGTATGTATGGAATAATATAAACTCAAAATCTATAAAACAAAAATTGGTAGTATTAATTTTTGGAGAAAAATCTAAATATATGATCATGTGGAAAGTTTCTCTCAATAACAAATTAATCAGACAAAAAAATCAATAAGATCTGAACATCTCCAAGATGTGAAGTTCAATCTAATGAATATACTGCACATATATTAAATACTGTGCACAACTATANACACCTTGAAGAAAATAAAAAGGGAAACAACAGATGGTGGAAAAACGTTTGCAAATCATATACTTAATAAAGGACTTGTATCTAAAATATATAAATAACACACAACTCAATAAGACAACTAACCCAATTAAAATAAGGGCAAAAGGTTTGAATATTTATCAGAGATATACAAATGGCCAATAAGTATATGAAAAAAAATACTCTACAACATTAATTATGAGGGAATGAAAATTAAAATCACAATGAAATGCCACTTCACACCCACTAGAATGGCTATAGTCAAAATGGGAGTCAGTAACAAGCGTTAGCAAGGACATGGAGTAAATGAAATCCTAACATGCTGGACGTGGGAATGTAAATGGTGCAGCCACTTTGGAAAACAGTTTTGCAGTTTCTTAAAAAGTTAAATATAATTTACCATATGACTTAGCAATTCCATTCTCAGATACAGTAACACCTTGGTTTGCAAGCATAATTTGTTCCGCAAACAAACTGATGATCACAATATAATTAGGCTAGAAATCTGTTAAAAGGCACGTACACACACACACACACACACACACACACACACACACACACACTCACACTCTCTCACACACACACACACACCCTAGGAAAAAACAGATAAAATAGAAAAAATAGACTTCTAAGTGATTCCTGAGTTAAAGGTGGAATTATAATTGAAACTAAAATATTTTGAATTGAATCATACTAAAAATGCTTCATATAAAAACTTGTGGGATGCAGGTACAGTAGTACTTAGAGGACAATTCACAGCCTTAAATAATGTTCATACTATGAAACAAGTGAGGCTGAAAATAAGCTAAACAAAAGTATAAATAGTACATCAAAACAAACTCAAAGAAAGTCAATGAGGAAAATAAAGATAAGAGTGGGCATAACGAAATAGAAGACAAAATACAATAGAGATTAACAAAGTAAAAAAAAATGTGCCCTTTAAAAAGATTAATAAAACAAAAATCTTGGCTGAGAATACTCAAGAAGAATTAAGGCACAAATAAATAACATTAGGAATAAAAGGGAGGAAATAATACATATTCAAGAAACAGTAAGAGAATATTATGAAGAATTTTATGCCAAAAATTTGAAAATATAGATAACATGGACAACTTCCTACATACATACAACTTATAAGAATACCTACATACATACAACTTATAAGAATAGTTATATAAGGATTTCAAAAATTGAATCACTAGTCAAAAATCTTTTCAAAAAGAAAATCTAGGCCCAGATAATTTTAATGTTGAGTTCCATCAAATTCAAGGAACAAATTAATTCCAAGCTTACATAAACTATTCTGAAGCATAGAAAAAGAGGAAATAGCGCCCAGTTTATTTTAAGAGGCTAGCATATCATGACATAGTAGAAAAAAGGCAAATGACAGGTCAATATTAATAATAAACATAGATGCTAAAATCCTAAGCCAAGTATTAGCAACTGTATCCAGCAATGTCTAAAAACAGTAATGCACCATTTAAGTGTTTATATTAGGGATGCAAAATTAGTTTAATATTAGAAATTCAATTGTAATTCACTACATTAACAGATTAAAAAATCATACCAGAAAAAAAATCATAGCAGAAAAAGCATTTCATAAAATTAACATGCACTCATGAGAAAGAAAAAAAAACCTCTTAGCAAACTAGTAATAGAAGAGAAGAACTTCCTTAATCAGGTGTTAAAAGGTGTCACAAAACATATAGCTGGGATCAGCACACTTAGAGCCTACAGGCCTAATCTGGCCTACTGTCTTTTTTGTTAATAAAGTTTTAATGGAACACAGCCAGGCCCATTCATTTATGTACTGTCTATGGCTGCTTTCCAATGGCACGATATTGTGACAGAGACTGTGTGGCCTGAAAAGCCTAAAATATTTACTACTTGGCTCTTTATAGGGGAAGTTTACTGACTCTTACCTATAGTAAACATGTTACCAAAAAGTCAGGTTGTAGCACTATGAAGTACCTTAGAGACATCTGCTTTTAAAAGGTAAAAATACCATCTTACCTTTTGTAGCGTGTTCAATAATGACTTGGAATTATTTTTAAAATTGGCCTGCACTTCAGTTTTAGCTAATTTCAAATCCCTTTCACATCGTGCTAATTCCTTTTTGAGCTTCTCTCTTCGTTGTTGGTCTGCATCTGATGGGAAAAATATATCTTTTGAAATATAGAATAAAATAAAAATATTAAATTTTTGGTCTTGGATGACTAATAAAGGGTACCTTTTTTTCTTGCCAAACATGTTTAGACTACTGGTATGTAAATAAAAATCCATACTCTTTTCTGTATAAAGAGAAGCTATGATAGTAAATACTGACTTCATAGAAACTTTAAATGGATTAACTACTTAAATAGCACAAACAATATGTGACAAACTGGCCAAACCTAAGGGGTCAAGAAAATAACTCTAGGAGATATTCAGAGAGATGAAGGTTAGAAATGCCTGACTATATTGTTTGACGCTGTAATCACCAACGACAGAGTTTGAATTAGTCTAGACTCTCCCCAAATGAAATATTATGGTCAATATCATCATATGCTATAAAATTTAAGATTTATATGACTTTAAAAAATGACATTAAATTTTAAAACATTATTTTCAATCAGGATAGCTCATTTCTATCTCTCTTAACTGCTATTCACTTGAAAATACAAACAAATAAAAGTGGTTTCATACTTCGGTGTGCTTTATTCAAGTCAGGTACTGGTCATTATCAAGACTTATTGTATAAAAACTAAAAATGGCAAAGTAAAAGCGAGTCAAATTTCAGAGTTAACTAGAAGGTTAACCATAAGTGGAGTCACTTGTATTTTCATATAAAATAAAAAATTTAACTTGTACTTTTTTATTGCAATCTATCCCAACTTCATGGACAAAGTAAATTCAAGTTTCAGATCACCCTGATCTGAATCAGAATTTATAAAAATTTCTACATGCTGAAAAAACAAACTTAGGGAATACATACGTATATTTAAAGTTTTAACTATAATTCTTAAGGAAATGTGTTAACCTGCTGAAGTAAATGTATTTAACCATCATTTAAAATGTAGACGGAAATATTACTTTCAGCTTATTCTAGCCTCAAATACTTGCTTAATGAATGTAATTAACTGCATTGTAGCAGATAATGTTTGTGGAGTAAATTAACTAGAACTTTCTCAGATCTATTATTTTGCTTGTAGGTAAAACAAGAGAGTAATAAAATATGACAAAGTAGAGTCCTCAGATATTATCATTATTAAATGTTTCCATATTACTAAATCTGCTCAGCCTATTCATTTAAGGAAAGCCTCCTCACACCGTACACAAAAATCAACTCCAAACAGATGTAAGAACTTAAACTATAAAACTCTTAGAAGAAAACATAGGAGTAAATCTTCAAGAGTTTGAGTTAGGCAAAAATTTCTTAGATAGAACATCAAAATCACAAGCCAAAAAAAAAAAAGATAAATTAGACTTAATTAAAATGAAAATCTTTTTCAAAAGATACACCTTGAAGAAAATAAAAAGGGAAACAACAGATGGTGGAAAAACGTTTGCAAATCATATACTTAATAAAGGACTTGTATCTAAAATATATAAATAACACACAACTCAATAAGACAACTAACCCAATTAAAATAAGGGCAAAAGGTTTGAATATTTATCAGAGATATACAAATGGCCAATAAGTATATGAAAAAAAATACTCTACAACATTAATTATGAGGGAATGAAAATTAAAATCACAATGAAATGCCACTTCACACCCACTAGAATGGCTATAGTCAAAATGGGAGTCAGTAACAAGCGTTAGCAAGGACATGGAGTAAATGAAATCCTAACATGCTGGACGTGGGAATGTAAATGGTGCAGCCACTTTGGAAAACAGTTTTGCAGTTTCTTAAAAAGTTAAATATAATTTACCATATGACTTAGCAATTCCATTCTCAGATACAGTAACACCTTGGTTTGCGAGCATAATTTGTTCCGCAAACAAACTACTCATATTGCAAGACACCGCTCGTTTACCAAGTTAAAATGTATTAAAATGTTTGCTGGTCTTGCAGAACACTCGCAAACCAAGTTACTCGCTATCCAAGGTTTTACTGTATATATACACATGTGTGTATATATATATATATATATATACATATACATATATATACACATATATATCCCAAAAGAAATGAAAACATGTATCCACACAAAGACTTGTACGTGAATTTTCATAACAGCACTATTCATAATAGCCAAAAACCAGAAACAATGCAAATGCTGAGCAACTGATGTTCCATACAACAGAATACAACTGAGTAATTAAAAGCAATAAAGTACTGGGCCGGCCGAGTGGCGTGGTGGTTAAGAGCTGGCTTGGGACGCCAGAGGGCCCCGGTTCGGATCCCACATATGAGGGCCAGTGACACTGCCCTCTACAGCTAAGATGCTGAACAACAGCTCAACCTGGAGCTGGGCTGTTGTGAGTCGCTGGCGACGGCGTGGGCTGCAGCCCCTGTGGCAGTGGGTTGCCATGAGCTACCGTGTGTAGCCAGCAGCCACCGTGAGCGGCCAGCAGCCGCAGTGAGCGGCCATCCAGAAGCCGGCGACTGATCTGCCTCTCCTGGGAAGAGCCCAATGATGGTGCCAACTTGGGCCAGTGAAGCAACGTCCTCCACAACTAGACTGAAGAACAAAATGACAGCAACTTGTCTGTTCCCCTTCCCCCAATTCCCCAGCACTGTTCCCATCCCCCCAATTCCCCAATTAAAATCTTTAAAAAAAAAAAGGAATAAAGTACTGATACAGGCTAGGACATAGGTGAATCTCATAAACATTATGCAAAGACAAGATTCTAATGTAAAACACCACAAAAATTATTCAATTTAAATAAAATGTCTAGAAAAGGCAAATCTGTAGAGAAAGAAAGTAGAGCAATGGTTGCCTGAGGCTAGGGGTGAGGAGGAGGGAGCAGCTGCAAATGGGTACAAGGAATCTTTTTGGGGTGATGAAAATATTCTAAAATTGGCTTGTGGTGGTAGCTAGCTGCACAATTTTTTAAACTTAGCAAAAATCAGTGATATGGTATGAAATTTGTCAATAGAATGGCTATAAAAATAAAGCCTTCCTAATGCATTAGCACATGGAATTATTTAAGCAATTCAATGAACTATGTAGAGATATCCTAGTTTAGACACTATGAAGATTGAACTTATCAAGTCAGTAGTCTGCTGTGACAGTGTATCTTATGTAGAGATGGCTGAAACCCAGGGACTTATTTCTTTTTTTTAATGTGTCTATAAAATTTGTTTCTAAGTTATACTGATTATAACGAACACCAGCTCTATAACACAAGAAGTCATGATGATTACTAATTACACTTTAGTTTGGTGAGTGAAATCTTCACAATTCTTCTAATCATCACACTTTTCTTCATTTACATGGCAACACAGAAAAACTCCTGCCTCAAATGACTGAGAGCAGAAGATACTGTGGGATAAATAAGCACTAGCTAAGTCTAGATTTTAAAAACAAAAAATAGGAGCAATTTTTAATATGCAACCCCTATACTGTCAACTCCTGAATTTTTATCTACATCCTGGAACTCTCTCCTCAAGAGAGTTACTCTAGACTTGAACTTGGCCTCCTCAGTATTTCACTAGGTATTTATTTCAAACTTATAATGACCAAGATGGAACTCTGGGTTCACTTCCTCCCCAGATCTCTTCCTATTGTATTTCTCACTTAATAAATTATAACTGTCATTTTGGTTGACAGGCTCTCGTGTTGGGCGTCATCCTGAACTTGCTCCTCTTTTTCTCTCATGCCCTCTCCACATCCAGTCCACCAGTAAATACTGTTGACACATTTTAAAGGTTTCCAGAATCCAACCATTTCACGCTCTTTCTACTGCAACCACTTTGGTCCAAGTCACCATTATTTCTCATCTGGATTACTGTCTCCTAACTACTCATTCCGCTTCCACCATTGCCCCTTACAGACTATTTCCAACTCAGTAGCCAGAGAGATGCTTTTAAAAGTTAAACTGGCTCTGTCACTCCCCTCATGGCTTCCAGTTTCAGAGTGAAAGCCAACGTGCTTGCAATGGCCACAGCCATACATGGTCTGCATCTCTCTGTCCCATCTCAGTGACCTCATCCATCACTCTTCAACTGGATTAGGTGACACCAGCCTTACAGCTCTCCTTGCTGTTCCCTGAATACTCCCACCATGATGTCATTTCAAGGCTTCTGTACTTGCTGTTTCCTCTGTCTGGATTGCTGTCCCTCCCCCCCAGCTCCCCACTTGCCTCTCCCTTAACTCTTTCAGGTCTCTGCTGAATTGTTACCTTATCAGTTATGACTTCGCCTCCCAAGGATAGACACCCAATCTCCCTTATCCTGTATGTGCTTCAATTTTTGCTATTGTACTTATCAATATCTGACATAGTCTATATTTACTTTTTTTCTTTGCCTTTGCTTATTGTTTGTCTCCTTCAACTAGAATGTAAGCTCTATAAAAGCAGGTACTTTGTTTTGCTCACCTCTTTAGTCCCATCCCTTAGAACAGCACCTAGCACACAGTAGGTAAGCAATAAATATTTGCTGTATTAACCAATGAACAGACTCTAGTGAACTAAATATTACATACAATGCCCGATTATTTTAAATTGGTGGATTTGGATTTTAAACCCAAGAGTTTGGTTGAGGATTAAAACATTCAGGCTTTTTATTATACAACCTAAATAAAAAAGAGATAATCTTAATTTATATATCTATTGTTTAGGAAGTTAATATCAGTATGAAAATTTACCAAAATGTTTCCAGTTAGAGGTGATCCTAGTTAAACAGAATTATCTGATCTAATTACAATTGGGTAAAAACCATGTTAATTCAAATAATTTAGAGTTTTAAAGTCTATAAATATTGAACCAGTATTATGTGCTATAGAAAAGGTACTAAAGTGATACAGAAGAAATTAAAAATCTGGAAGAGTCCTTAGAGATTATTTAATCACCTTTTATTGTACAAAAGAGGAGGGTGAGAGGTAAAATAACTTGCCCATATAACTTGTGTGCTGTAGTCAAATTGGTCTTTAAAAATACATACACAAAGCCCACTTGCCTAGAATGACTTTACCCTTTCTAAAAAATCATTTGAACCCCCAAATTCCTTCAAAGACATGACAGCCTACACTAGGGCTTGTTGCAAACATAAAAACAGAAGGGCCAGAACACAAAGTGTCAAGCACAGGGCTTGAGAGACACTGTTCTCACTTAATGGCAGCTGTTAGCTGCTGGCTCAGCTTAAGTCCTATCTCTTCCACTAAAAGGACACACAAGAGGAGATGAATCCAACCAATCTGCTGTCCGTGATCTTTCCCAGATTGTACCCAATGGGCATTCCCTATTCAGGCTCTCATTCATTCACCATTTAGCATACACCTTGGGCTACACATGTTATAGTTATTTTTTATTGTGGAAATCCTTTCTCAATTCAACTATAAATAACAAATTCAAATAGTAACTTAAGAGAACACTAAACTTAAAATTTATAATATTTTGATTTTTATATGATTACCAATAAGATAAGCTGTAATATTCATGTTCTTTGACTATTTTTAAGTAAACATTTCTTGAAGAACTCAAACAAAGTCTTCAAATGGTCTCAAATGATATCTTTCAGAATATTTTTAAATAGGAACTTCAAATTTTGTGGTCTGATTATTTCCTTTGTACAGGTTACTAAAAATCAAAATATTTGGTCAAAGGGTAGTTATAACATGATTCTATAATACGTCAGTATGGCTTTTCAGATACATATAACTACTATGTTTCTCAGTTAGGCTATTAGGATACAAATAGACAATATTTATTGGGAGAAAAGAGCCAGTTATGGTATTTTTAATGAATAATTCAGTAACCTTAACAAGCCAAGGGCAGTGAGAATCACAGAGTTCTAGAACTTAAACCTTGGGAAATTACCCAAATTTTTATATGTAGGAAAAATGAAATCCAAAGAAGTTAAATACTTTATCTAAAGTCACATGGCAACTTAGTGGCAAAGCAGTGGCTCAATTTTAAGTTCTTATACTTAGAAATACAAGTTTCTTTTATTTATGGGTATTATTTACAAGTTAGAAAATACTTCCTGAAAAGGCAATATGTCAACACCTAATATGGCTACTATGAAAAAAATAAAAAAGCAGAAAATAACAAATGTTGGGGAGAATGTGGAGAAACTGGAACCCTCACATACTTTTGGTGGGAATGGAAGCTGGAAGTTTCTCAAAAAATTAAAAATAGAATTACCATATGATCCAGCTATTCCACTATATACCCAAAAGAACTAAAAGCAGGGTGTCAAAGAGATATTTGTGCATTCATGTCCATAGAACGATTACTCACAACAGCTAAAAGGTAGAAACAACCCAAGTGCCCACTGACTTAAGAAACAAAATATGGTACATACATACAATGGAATATTACTCAGCCTTAAATAGGAAGGAGATTCTGACATATGTTACAACATGGATGAACCTTGAGGACATTGTGTGAAGTGAAATAAGCCAGTCACAAAAGGAAAAACACTGGCTGATTCCACTTACATGGAATACCTAGAGCAGTCAAATTCATAGAGACAGAAAATAGAATGCTGGTTGCCAGAAAGTAGAGTGGTGGTTGCAAGGAGGGAATGGAGGAGTTTCTGTTTTGTAAGATAAAAAGAGTACTGAAAATGGATAACGGTGATGGTTGTACCAGAATATGAATGTATTTAAATGCCACTGAAGTGTAGACTTAAAAATAGTTAAGACGGTAAATTTATGTTTGGTGTAGTTTACCATAATTTCTTTTTAATTGGGGAATTGGGGGGAGGGGGACAGTGTTGGGGAATTGGGGAAGGGGACCAGCCAAGTTGTTGTTCTTCAATCTTAGCTGTGGAGGGCACCAATCGCCATCTGGCTTCCTGTCAGCAGCTTGTGGCCTCTAAGCTCAGGGTGCTGTGTTACAATCTTAGTTGCAGGTGGGCGTAGCTACCATCCCATACGGGAGTCGAACCAGCAGCCTTGTTGTTAAGAGCGGATGCTCTATCCACTGAGCCATCCAGGCGGCAGCTCAGCTCAAGGTGCCGAGTTCAGTGTTAGTTGCGGGCAGGCATAGCCCATCATCGAACAGGCAACCTTGTTCTCTCACCAGATGAGCCATCCTGCTACCTGTTGGCAGCTCAGCTCAGGCGCAGCGTCGCAGGCCCATGCGGGAATTGAACCGGCAGCCCTATTGCTCAGAGCTCATGCTCTTAAGCTAACTCTTAAGCAACTGAGCTACTCGGCTGGACCCAGTTTACCATAATTTTTTAAGGCAGTATGTCAAAAATTACTTACATTTGATGCTGGCACTCATACTGAGTGGAACAGAGCAGTCTACCATAGCTGAAAGAGAAAAATCAGTTGTTTAATAGTATTAATATTTATAAATGAAAACGAATCTCAAATGTGGAAATCACAAAAAGTTCCAAAACTTGCAGTTCCTTGTTTTAATTTTTATGGTACTCCTAGAGATGAAAAATAGTATCTTTGACAAAAAATATACTGGCTAGTATCGACAGCTCATTAGCCACTATAGAAAAAAGTATTAGTGAACTTGAAAACACAGCAATATAAACTATTCAAAATGAAACAGAGTAAAGAAAGGTTGTAAAATAAAGCATAGAGCATCACTGACCTAATCTACGTTTTTCATGCACTTGACATACTTACAGTTGGAGTTCCAAAACAAGCTTGGGGAAAAAAAGATAAAAATTGGAGGAACTACACTATCTGATTTCAAGACTTACTGTTAATGCTGTAGTAATTAAGGCAGTGTGGTATTGTAATAAAGATAGACATACAGATCAACAGAACTGAAGAATAAATCCAGAAATAGACCCACACATATGATTAATTTTCTTTCAAAAAGAGCTAAGGTAATTCAATAGAGAAAGGACAATGTCTTCAACAAATAGTCCTGGGAGCATTTGGATACCCACAGGCAAAAATTGATCCTTATATCATACCAGATATAACAACTAACTCAAAATGGACCACAAACTTAAATGTAAGAGTAAAACTTATACTTCTAGAGAAATCACTTAAGAAAATCTTAGTGACCTAAAATTAGGCAAAGATTACTTAAACAGGATATAAAAAGCATAAACTATTTAAAACTTGAAAAGCTGAACTTGATTTCACATGTAACAAAGTATTTTTTCTTTAGATTTTTTCAGTCATTTAAAATATAAATGTTATGAAATATGAGCTAAAATTAAAAACTTAAGCCCTTCAATGAGAAAATAAAAATTTTAAAAATACATTAGGGAAAAACTGGTGATATTCAAGTAAGGTCTGTACTTAATAGTATTGTATCAATATTAATTTCCTGGTTTTAATAACTGTAGTATGGTTATGTAAGATTTTAACCTTGGGGAAAGCTGGGTGAAGAGTTTCTGTGGCTCTACTTTTTTGCAATTTTTCTGTAAATCTAAAATTATTTCATATAAAAATTTAAAAAAATGAAAAGGCAAGTCACAGACTAGGAGAAAATATTTGTAAAATATAGCTGACATAGGACGTGTATTTAATATATAAAGAACTCTCACAATTTAATACTAAGATGACAAACAACCCATTTTAAAAAATGGGCATAAGGTATTTCACCAAAGAAGACATACAGATGGCAAATAAGTAGAAAAGTTGTTCAACATTATTAGGCATTGAGGAAATGCAAACTAAAATCCTGATAATATACTATGAAATATCCACTGGAATAGCTAAAAAAAGACTGACAATAGAAAGTGCTGGTGAGGATATGGAAATTATGGAAATGCAAAGTAGCAGTCACTCTGGAAAACAGTTTGGCAGTTTCATATACAGTTAAACATACACTTATTATGTTACCCTACAATTCTACTCCTAGTAAATAAATGTATCCAAGTGAAATAGAAACATATGTTCAAAGACTGTATGTGAATATTTATAGCAGCTTTATTTCTAATAGCCAAAAGTGAGTCAAAATAATTCGAATGTCCACCAACTGGTAAATCGATAAATTCTGGTATATTCATTATATGGAATACGACCTTAGCAATAAAAAGGAAGAAAGTAATACTTTTACACACAAGAACATGGATTAGTCTCAAAAGTGTTAGCTAAGTGAAAGCAGCAAGGCCCAAAACAACACACACTGCATGATTCCATTTATGTGAAATGCTGGGAAAGGCAAAACCATGGTGGTGGAAAGCACATCAGTGGTTACCAGGGATGGCAGGGAAGAGACTGACTGCAAAAGACTAGGGGGAGTTTTTGGGGTAATGGAATGTTCTATATCAGGGGTCAGTGAACTTTTTCTGTGAAGAGTCAGATAGCAAACGCTTCAGGGTGATACGGTCTGTGCCACAACTAGTCAACTGCCTGTTAGGATAAAAGCCACTATAGACCATGAGTAAAAGAATGGACGTAATTGTGTTCATGTATGGACAATGAAATTGGAATTTCATGTAACTTTCACACATTACAAAATATTCTTTTGATTTTTTCCCCAACCATTTGAAAATACAAATCCCATTCTTAGATCACAAACTGTACAAAAACAGGTGGCAGGGAAGATTTGGCCTGTGAGCTGCGTTCGCTGATCCATGTTTTACAGCACAATTGTGGTGGTGGTTAAAAAATGTATAAAATTTTCAAAATTAGTACACTTAAAATTGGTGCATTTTGTTCTATGCAAGTTATATCTCAATAAAGCTGACCAAAAATGGAAAAGAGATTAGCTAGCATCTTCTTTGTACTTCTTTAGTATACTTGAAAACTAAAAAGTAGATTATAAACTTTTATTGTATTAAAATCAATATCTAACCACACAATAATATTAGGGATAACACAGGTAAAAGGATATAACCTTGGCACAATACAGAATTCAAATATAGTTAACAAAACTGGCATTCTGAATTTGCTATGTATATAACGTTAAGGTCAGTAGCTGGTATTTCACTGTACCAAACACAAATCCAGATATTAATAATGCATTCATTTTTGCTACAGATTTACTCTAATTAGAAGTGAAGCCGAGAGTTTAAGTTGGGTACAGAAAGTTCACATTTGAACATTTTTACCTTTGGCTGAAAGGATTTTATTATAGTGAACAGCCATGTGATTCTTGATCAGGTGGAGAGTACTTAATCTGAGAGAGGAGGAGTCAGTGCAAAAAGCTAAAAATTAAAACATATTTAATCATTATATATTTAAAGGAATATAAAGTCATCATGAGACAAACAAGTTACTGATTATTACACTCATTTTTAGAAAATATTCTGAAATTCAACCATTTCATTATAACTTTGTGATGCTGAATATGTCCGAGCCTTAATCTTGCACAGATAACTGATGAGCTATATCAAACTTTGTAAGAATAAGTTTCACAAGCCTGAGAGTTTGGGGAAGAGATTCTAGACGATAAGCTATCATTACATTTATGAAACTATATCTTACGGACAGCTCTCAATCTCGTAACAAAAATGTTTAGCCACTTGCCTGATTATAAAATAATATTACCATTGTCAGTTCTTGAATACCTGGAGTTTGGGAAATCAAGCAAACCCCAAACTCCAAAACTCTATGCAAAGATTCTATTCTGAGAGGCCCACATCTAGCTTCACACCTGAAAACAAGATCTACAAATCAGCTTACCGCATTCTTTTTGAAGTATTAGGACAATCTTAATACAAGCATATCACATAGAAACTCCATGACATTAAACTTCTTGACCTCGTCTAAACTGTTTAAAAGCTACCTTAGAAATAATTAAGCACTTACATACAAATATAAAATGTAAATGTAGGCCTATTGTTTTTAAACACTAGAAACAGTTTTTGAAAATACATACATGTAGTTAAAAAAATAATAGCTAAAAACACACACAGAGTTTAAAAAATAGTGACTTTCCTGATCCCGAGTATTTCCTCCATAAGAATACTGTTACTTTTTTTATGTATCCTTCCAGGGAAATTCTATGCAACATATAAGAATATATAATAATGATAAGCTTGATACTACTACTACTAAAAAATGTATTGAATAGGTACCACGCATTGTTTTAAGCTCTTTACATGTAAAAACTCATTTAATTATTATTATCACCATTTAACAGAAGATGGAAACTGAGGCACAGAGATGTAAGTAAGGTCGTCAAGATCACACGGCTTGATAAAGGATGCAGTTTAGCTGTTGACTAAGGCAGCCTCATACAACCACTATAACTATGATTGCATGTATATTCTTAAAAAAAAGTTAGCAAACTATATATTGTTCTTAATCCTGCTCGTCTATGTAAGTATATTTTAAATCTAGTTTTAAATTTTTATTTAAAAAATATTTTTCAAAGTTTGATTCTGGCTCCATGTGTATATATACTTTGTTACACAGAAATAAGAGAGGTAACTGAAATGTGATTCTTCCTTCACATTTGGAGGAACCAGTATCGACGATTTTTCACATAAGCAAAGAAAAGAAAGACTTTAAATTATGTTGCCTAAAACACAAGACTTAAAACTTTTAAGCTATAATTATAAAAATGTATTTTAAGTTTACATTAAAAATTTACTTTAAAGGCTTTAAAATATGAAAACACCATATATTGTCCTTTCATAGGCCCTAGAAATCCAGTTGATACAAAATGGATTTTTCAAGTGCTCTTTTTCTCTGCACAGCTTTTCCTTTCCAGTGCCTCTGTCTTTAACAACCTACTAATCACATTTTAACAAGGAAGGCACGCCTTAAGCCAGGGTAGTTGCCCAGCAAAGAGCAGACAAGAGCTTGACTGGAACTGCAGCAGGGAGCAGGAGGCAGCCAACTCCACATTCAACGCACAGTAATAGTCTGAAATGGACTCCTAAATTCTCTAATCTCAAGAATTCCTATAATATTTAATTATAATTAATAATATAAAGTTCAAATATTGATTAAATGAACTAATTTTTTCATCATGTCATATAATTGACAAATAAAGGGAACAGACAGTCAATCTTTAACAAACAACCTTTACCATTTCAAGTACCTCACTTACCATTACTTTTGGTGCTCAAGTGTCCTTTAAATAGGGATGGTGGACCATATCTGGGAAGGACAGAGGTTGCTCTGACTTTTAACAAAATAACATGAATTAGGATAAATGAAACACAACTTTCCCAAAGATAACAATATTGAACATTTAAAAAATAATAAATTTATCTTTGATTTAACTAGAGTTGTTTAAAATTTTATTCAATCATATTACTAACCAGAAATGATATATCAGACAAAAATTCTGCAGCCTTTGATAAAAAGCTTTCTTTTAAGAAAAATCATTTTCAAAACAGTTGTGCCATGAGCCTTTAATTTCACTAGGAAAAATGTACGTCAGTTATGTTATCTAATATACACTGACTACTCTGTACGCCTCTGACCTACTGGATTTTTAAATGATTTTGAGATATAATAAAACTGAGATTTTGAGTTAATACATATGTCTTAACTATTTCAGTTAATCATAAGCTAGTCTGTCCTAAAAATAATTTTAAGAAAGTAATCTCCCCACAAATTGAGTAAATTAGAAATTATATCATGTTACTATGTATAAAATAAGCACATATATATAGAAGTCAGAATCATAACTTAATTTTTAAATGATGTCTTAAGTTTCATCTAATCCAACCCACTTACCCTCTTGCTTGGATCCTATCTAAACAGTCTATATTTAGAAGTCCCCCTTCCAAATTTGTCCTTCCTTGAGTATTCTCCCTTGGCTCTTGGGTATCATACAGAGATTACTTATGGCTTAGAATTACTCTTTTATGATAGTTTCATCATTCTTTAAACTTCCCTTGTTTAAATCACTTTATGGTTTCTAGCTTCTGACTGGACCCAGATTGATACCAAGGGGCATGAAAAAGTAACCTCAAACCAAACACCACACACAAAAAAATCATCCTCTAGGTTAGGACTAAAATCCTTTCCATGAGTTCAAAGGTCTTACTAGGATAGTGAAATTCATCAGTATGTGCAAGCAGCCCAGTGCCCTACACAATGTGAGTTCACTGAGACAGCTAGAAGGAACTCAAGTGAGGAAAGGTGGTGTTTCTTGTGGCAGAATTTCCCAGGAATAGCAGAATTTGGGAAATCTAATGCCACTGATACGTGTCTCGATGAGACCAACAGATGAAGAAAACTTTTTTCCAAGCGACTTTCAGTTATCTATACTAATAGGTTGTCTTCTCCCTAAAAGTCATTGATAATAGAGTAAATGGCAGTTTGCTATTCTCAATCTTTTCTCCCAACTGGAAAGAAGACCTTTTAGATTATGTAGTCCACCGTTTTACAAATAATTAAGGTCCAAGGAGGTAAAGTGATTTGCTGAAGATCACCTAGTCAATAGTAAACAAAGATTACAAACAAGATGCACTGTTTTTTTAGGCTGGAGCTCTTTCTATTACATCACCATACAGGAAGTTTGCCTTACACAAAAGAACGCCTAAAAATGTGATTACCATAAGAATAGAGAGATGATTTTTTTACTTTAGGTGTCTTAATATTTTGTGCCCTGAAATCACGAAAGGTAACCTCTTAATGAAATCTAAGAAATTTAGAAAGTACAATCTTTTCAATTAAAATTAAGTATTTTAGCTCTGGCTAAAATTATTTATGGTTTCTTATCAATAATAATAATTATGGTACATGAGAAGAGACTACCCCAGATATTTGTTGAATATTGTATTTGTTTAAAAAATTTTAAATAAATACAATGTTTAATACTATATATTATATACTACCCTAAAAATGAAGCTAATTAAATTGGGTTAGTTATAAAGATATAAACCTTTTTATATTCTGAAATGAACATAATTTTAAAAGGAATTCAATAAACAAATACTGAGAATATACTAAGTTTATTATACTCTAAATTTTACATATATCCTTTCCCATAATCCCACCTCTAGAAGGAGGCAGTAAGTAAAAAACAGTGGCTTCTAGGTTCCACATTCCTACCTGGATTCAAAGCCTATTCTGGCCTTTATTGTGACCTTGGTAAGTTAAGAATAAAGTATGATCGCTTACTTTATTCACTATGAAATGAGGATAATATCTATCTCACAATGTGTTTTTGTGGACTAAGTAATGAGATAACTTGGAAATAGTTTCTGGTACACAGCAAGGACTTAATGTCAGTTTATGTTGTAAAATTTCTGAAAACCATAAAAGCATGCTGGGTTGTGTTTTCTGGAACTTAAGTGTCAGAATACACAGTGTGCTGATCAATGAGTAGTTATCTCCCACATTCAGAACAGCACTTAATTTTGACTAATGATTACACAACACAGGCACACTCCTATTCAAAGCAAGACTTGCTCATGAACCATCCAGCAGCTTGGTTTAAAGGTACTTTTATTTTTTATATAACTTTTTTTTTGGTTTTAGCTGAGCCACCCTGCCACCTGTTGGCAGCTCAGCGGCAGCTCAGCTTGGGCCCGACTCGAACCGCTGTTGCTCAGAGCTCACTCTTGAGCGAGCTCTTTACCAACTGAGACACTCGGCCAGCCCCTTATAAAGGTACTTTTTTAAATAGATAGGAACACTGAATTGGGAAGGGAGGGTCTGGAGATTGCCTTGCTGGGTTTGAAGACAGAATGCTACTTGTTCGGGGAGAGGGAAGATACAAACTACTTGGATTGGGCCGATTTGTAGAGATTTATAGTTATATGGCTCCAACTGTTCCACCGTGATGTCCACTTGACCCAGAGAGTACTGTCCAGGGCAGGTGTGCACAGTGATTATGGATTAGACCTTTGCTACTAAAACTGTAGCCAGCAAAACTGCATCACTCGAAAACTTACTACAAAAGCAAAACATCAGCCCCTGCCCCCACCAGAAAGGCTGAATCATAATCTGCATTTTAACATGATTCCTAGTCACTTTAAAGTTAAGAGAATCACTGGGTTACTGGATAGCTGTGGGGTTTTTTGGGGGGGTGGGGGGCCGGCTAGTTACAAAATGGAAGATTTCTTATTTACTGAGTACTTACAATGTGCTAAGAGCTTTATATGTATTATCTGCATATAATCCTCAACAACTCTATGACATAGATGTTTTACTCCCCATGTTTACGAGATGAAGAAACTGAGGGTCACCCCTGAGCAGTGCAGCAGGGTCCGAGATGAAAAAACTGAGGGTCACCCCTGAGCAGTGCAGCAGGGTCCAGGGAGGTCTGACTCCAAAGCCCACATTTGGTTCCTGTGCCCCGCAGTCATCGAGGTAAATAAAGGCTGAACGATCCGAGTACAGGGGACAGGGCTTTCTGGACACAGGGCGACAAATTCTGAGCCAGGAGCGGACCTGTGAACTCCGCAAGCTGGGCCTTTGCCTGTGCACGGGGCCTGTGCAGCTTGTGGCAACAGAGTCTACAGCTGGAGACTCAGCAGGGGACGGAGAGCGCCCAGGGCGCGGCCTCTACCCGCGCGGCCCCCACGCGGCCCCCGGGCCCCAGACCCGAGGCTCGGAGCGCAGGCGGCTGCGAGGCGCGAGACGGCGGTCGCTTCGCTCGCGACAGCTGCCCTTTACCTCTCCGGCTGCCATTCATGCTTATATCCTCCTGCAGCCGCCGTGGGCCAGGCTGGGTCCCCTTCGGTCCTTCCCCGGGACCGGCCAGCACCCGCAGCAGAGGATTGTGAAGGAGGGGCGGACTGGAGGCCGCGGGGGCCGGAAACCGTCGCCAGACGGGTTGCTAAGGACCCGTTTCACGGCGTCCGGATTGTGACGTCACAGCGCAGGACGTGCGCTGCCGAAGCTCCGCCTCGGGCGGTACCTGGAGGTGGGAGGAGAGCCGTTGAGAGTGGAGAAAGCGGGAGAGCAGAGCGCCGCGAGGCGCCAGTCTGTTGTTCTGGGCTCCTGCCAGTCCTCCACAGAGCGGCCTCCTGTCAGGAGCGAGCCACCAGCACCTGGCGGGCCCTGCCCTTGCGGGTTCCTCGTTCCTCTCTCCTGCCCACCTCCTCCTTTGCCTTTTTAAATCTAGCTTCCAATCTGTTTTCCTTTGTGATGGAAGAGAGTTGCGACAAGAACAAGGCGTTGATTTATCTGTGGCTTTATACAATTTGTTTAATTTTGAAGCAGTTACCCTTGAATCCTTGGAAATAAGATCAGAACAGGGCAGGGGACATTTTGGAATGTAGCGCTTCTCAGCAGCGGCTCTATTGACATTTGGGGCTAGGTGCATACTTTTTTGGGGTGTGTGTGGGGGGGAGGGGTGTGGGGAGGTGCATTGTAGAGTGTTTAGCAGCATCCTGTGTGACTCTACACACTAGATGCAAGTTACAGCCCACCCACTCCATTTCTCGTTGTGACAAAAATGTCTCCAGACATTGCCAAATGGAAAACGTCCTGGCTTTGGAGCTAGCGATGTGGAACTTAATTGTGAATTTTCTGCTACTTATTGGCTTGACCTTGAATTATTGGGTTGTCAGAAAAGTCATGACGTATTTTTCTGTTTTTCGTTGCAAAAATACGTCATGACTTTTCCAATAACCCAATAGTTTCTAAACTTCTTTGAACTTCTGGTGCCTCTTTTCTAAAATGTAAAAGATGCTGCTAACTTTATAGTTGCAAGGATTAATATATACAGTGCCTGCCAAACAAAGCAAAGAATAAATAATCATTCTGCTGTTTCAGAAGAGCTCAGGTATCAGGGAATTCAGGCATAAGGAAATAAATTATTAGGTTGGTGCACAAGTGATTGCAGTTTCAGGCCGTGAATTTTAAATCATTATAACTAGGCTCAAACAAATCTTTATTAACCAAAATAGGAACCATTATAATCAACACATTTTTGCCAATGAGAAATAAGTTTGTTTATTCCTGTAGCATAAAAATCCGTGCTTCAGGATTCGACGAACTCTTGGAAAGCATTTTCTGTATCCTGCTGGTTGTGGAAGTGTTTTCCCTGCAAAAAGTTCTCGAGATGCTTGAAGAAGTGGTAGATGGTTGGCGAGAGGTCAGGTGAATATGGTGGATGAGGCAAAACTTTGTAGCCCAATTCGTTCAACTTTTGCAGCATTGGTTGTGCAGGGTGTGGTCGGGCGTTGTCGTGAAGAATTGGGCCCTTTCTGTCGACCAATTCCAGCTGCAAGTGTTGCAGGTTTTGGTGCATCTCATTGATTTGCTGAGCATACTTCTCAGATGTAATGGTTTTGCCAGGATTCAGAAAGCTGTAGTGGATCAGACTGGCAGCAGACCACCAAACAGTGACCACGACCTTTTTTGGTGCAAGTTTGGCTTTGGGAAGTGCTTTGGAGCTTCTTCTCGGTCCAACCACTGAGCTGGTCGTATACTATCCAATTTTTGTCGCATGTCACAATCTGATAGGGAAATGATTCGTTGTTGCGTAGAATAAGAGAAGACGGACGACACTTCAAAATGACGATTTTTTTGATTTGCTGTCAGTTCATGAGGCACCCACTTATCAAGCTTTTTTGCCTTTCCAATTTGATTCAAATGCTGAATGACCGTAGAATGGTTGACGTTGAGTTCTTTGGCAACTTCTTGTGCAGTTGTAAGAGGATCAGCTTCGATGATTGCTCTCAATTGGTCCTTGTCAACTTGCGATGGCCGGCCACTACGTTCCTCATCTTCAAGTCTCCCGTCTCCTTTGCAAAACTTTTTGAACCACCAGTGCACTGTACATTCATTAGCAGTTCCCGGGCCAAATGCATTGTTGATATTGCAAGTTGTCTCTGCTGCTTTACGACCCATTTTGAACTTGAATAAGAAAATCGCTCAAATTTGCTTTTTGTCTAACATCATTTCCATAGTCTAAAATACATATAAAATAAACAAGTAATAAGTCATTAGCAAAAACACATAAAGTGAGGAATGTGCATTAAAATGATGTATAACATAACCACATTTATTTAAGAATGTATTCCAATATCAAAGGCAAGTTTCAACAATGCAAAAGCCACAATTACGTTTGCACCAACCTAATAGGAATCCTAAGAAAAGGAAAAGGGGAATAAGTCAGAATCCCATTATATTAACACCTGAACTCTAGGTTCTCTAAGACTCTAGGCAGAGAGAATTAGATTCAGAATTTGAGGAAAGTGGAAGTATATGTGGCATATCTGTGGCCCCAATAACCAAGGTCCCTTAGAAGGATACAGGAGTAGAGTCAGATGTTACCCAGAGAAAAAAAACTCTCTTGGTACCTACACACTAATGCTTGAAACCCCTATCTAAGAAGATGAAGCCTTTTATTCCACTACTAATATCAGGAAAATACTTCGCATATAAGAGGCTTCCAGTAAGCATTTGTTAAATTGAATCAGAACTAAAGCTTAAAGGGCAGACACCCCTGTGAGAGGCAACACAATGACTTGATTCACACAAAGGTGATGCCAGCCCCTCTTAGGAAAGTAGATTTGGGGATGAAAAGTAGATTTGGCTTTGAAATAGGAAAGGGCTCTGTGGTTGGGAGAGGCCAGCAAAATGGAAGAGGGTTCTGAAGACAACATTGCTTGGTGTCCAACTTCAACTGAAGTCATCATCATTTCATTATTTCTCTTTTCGGTTATTTTGTTCTAATTCTTTCAAGAAATGGAAAGTAGGAGGATTTTTTTCCCTCTCAAATTGTAGCAGTGAACATATCATAAATGCAACTTAATTTGTCCTTGGCCTTCACTCTGTGTGTGTCGACAAGAGAGAGCAGGTCCTTTCTGGTTGCTATTCCCAAGAGGTAACTCAGGACCATGGCCAGATGCATGCAGCTAGTATAGGCTTATGACAGGGTTAGCGCCCAGGGACACCTTCCTCTGGGGGAATCACCACCAGCCCCAATGGCCTTGGATAGTAGTAGGCATTACTAAAGACCTCTTGTTGGATATTTAAACATGAATTTCTCATTTTAAAGAAATTATTCCAATGGTATAGTTTTGTTATATCTGGAAACTTGTATATCTGTATTTTAGAAGGAAAAACTTTTTCTCCCCTAATGAATTGGTATGGCACTTTTATTATTGGGTTTCTCTTTCTGTCTTAGCTGACAGGAAGCGCAAAGTTAAGATTTGTGCTCAATTGCAATAAGTATTCATAGTCTATTTTTCTATTTACCTCTTTAATTCCCTTTATTAAACAGGTGGCTTTTATTCATCTACTGTTATTTTAATGGCTCAATTGGGCCTATTTTTGACTAGATGAGCTCTAAGCCCATTGGAAATGGTGATGTAAATAAAATAAACTATGTATTATATATACCACAATACATAGACTAAGAACATAATACATAGTTTATTGTATTTTATTATATATTATTTTAAATGTATTATATTATTACATATACACTTAATCTATATAACAGATAACCCTTCATTTAATAATTCAGAGAATTCTGAAAATTCATATTTGTCTGCTTGGATATGCTTAGCACCATCAATGAAAATTATCCAATAAATGCAGTAAAAGCACCGAGACATAAAGGCCAAGAGAGTCTTTTTCCATTCATTGGGTTATTAGGAACATAGTTTAATTCTTAAAGTTCCCAAAGAACAAAAATTAAGGACATTTAGGAAATATTTTTTAAGGACTACATACCAGAGCAGAGTAAGAGAAATAGAATTAAGTGGTGTGTGTGCACTTTGTGTCAACCAGTGTCAACACAAAATCCCTCAGTTTTAGGGACTGAAGAATGCTTGAGAATTCAAGCTGTTGACTATCTCTTAGTCATTCTCCAATCAAAATGCTATAGCTATTGATTCATTTAATAACCAAACAAGGACCTGGAACTTCAGGGCCTGGAGGTATTAGCATGTTACGAAATAATAGATGCATTTGCTGTTTGTCACTAGAGGGGGCTTTAGCAAAGTTTTAAGCCGAATCCCTATGAGGAAGGCTGCCAAGTCCAGGCAATATTAACCTATAAATCTTACTCGAAAAGTGTAAGAAGTGAGAAAGACTTTGAAAAGTGACTCCAAAGTAGAGCTTCTCCAATTATAGTTGGTGACACATACACCGAGTTCCTTTTTGAGCACAGGAAGAAATTACGGTATTATCTACAGGCCCTTCATGGATAAAAACATCTTTATACATAACTTGATTTTTCTTAATTTTATTGCTAATGCAGGAGAGAACATCAATGACCGTAATTCTCTGTAAAGCAATATGTACCTAATAGACAAAAAGTACAGGTGGACGAAAGAGAGCAATAACAGGATAAACTGCCCCCTCATGTCCATTTTGAGTTCTCTTAAGGCATAGAACTTGGACATCTGAACACAAATACAATCTTGTCCGTAGAAAATGATCATTCTTAGAAGTCTAATAGCACACAGGGTTTACACTGAACTTTTTGATATGCTCCACCCCACATTGTATTTTCATTTCCCCTACAGTTGAAAAGAGCACAAAATTATGACTTTAGGTGGCTTAGCTAGCTTCTTGTTACTAACAAAAGATTCACTTACATTGTGACCCTTCAGTGAAGGCTGCTGGAATTGCAGACCTTAGGCGGACTTGTAAGTGTCATAGTTCTCCATTGCTCCAGTTTCACCCCAGCTGTGTTCCTTAAATCTTTTCGTCCAATTAAGGGAACAAGTCTCTGTGAACAGAACGGAATCATTCTATGGTTACTAGGTAACCTGTCCCTGTAGCGTTAGCTTAAGAAGAGCATTTTATCTGCTGCTTCCACTGCCAATCAATTGTCACAATACATCAGGAATGATGCTGGGTC